TATGGCAATAATTGAGAAATTAAGTTAATTTTTCAGACTTTAGTTTTAAAACATTGTGGAAGGAGAACAATTTGTAAGTTATATTCAGGAAAAAAAATATAATGAAGTTTAGTTAAATTTTGAAAACCTTGATGAACACATGACTGTCATCTTGCATAAGAATGCATTAAAGAATGAACAGTATTCCAAGTAATGAATACTAGAATGTGTGATAAGATGTTATATTTTTTATTTATTATTATGAGTTAAAACTAACTTTTCTGAGTTTTATGAATTTTAACATGTACCCTTTTATGAATTTTGACATGTGTATAGTTTCATGTAACAGTCATCAAAATCTAGATGCAGAACATTTACATCACCTCACAGAATTCGCCTGTTCTGTCCCTTTGCTAATAACTCTTGGTAACTACTGATCTGTTGTCTATCCCTATACTTTTGTCTCTTTGAGTTTTGTCTTTTTGTCAGATAAATGGGACCATAGTATGTAACCTTCTGAGGATGGCTTCTTTCACTCAGCATATTACCTTTGAGCTTTCATCCTAGTTGTCACATGTATCAAACATCCTTTTATACTCTTGAGTAATATTTCATCATATGGATGTACCATAGTTTGTTTATCCACTCACCCACTAGAGGGCATTTGGGTTGATTCTAGTTTGGGGCAGTTACGAGCAGAGCTACTGTAAACCAAGGAGTGGAATTGCTTGATCATACTGTGTTTTATCTGGTTTTTATTTTTTTTAAGTATATATTCAGGTGTGTTTTAGATCCTTTCCAATTTCCTTCAGGTCATTTTTAGAACCTACCTCTTTTTTTCTTCCTACTTCTGATACAGCATTTCATCTTTCATCTTTGTCATGTTTTCTTGATCCTGTTTTCTTTGGGTTGACTTTATTGGAATCATCTTTTGGTACTGTAGCCCAGAATCTGTCTGGCTTTTATATTTCTCCAGCTTAATTATATGATTCATCTCCTTACAGAATCTCGTTTGCAACTATACTCTGCCATTTGTAGATGACTTTCACATCTATCTTTCTATCCTCTTTTGTTCAGTTTATATCTTGTTATCTGGAGGACATTTGTTATCTGGAGGATTAGATGTCCTCTTAACACTTCAGTCTTCTCATGGTAGAAACTTAAAAATTTTTTTCCCTTCCATCTTTTCCCTTCTGAAACTTTCTTATCATAATCACAGGTAATTTATTATGTTTGCTATTACTTCCCCTTTCCAGTTGCAGGCAGTAACCAAACCTAGGACTTTTGTTTTTTAGTCATCACTACTCTTGTCACCAAAAGTCTCTTGAAGAGTCTTTTCACCTCATTTACGTGCCAGTGTTTCTTGCTGACCTTCCAACTGTGTATTTCTCCTTTTCCATCCTAAAGTCAGGATTAAAATCATCTTGTATAAAGAACATTCTGCTTTTGCAATTGTGTGTGTGTGTGTGTGTGTTTGATCTTTGTTTCATTAGAAAGGCCTGTTTCTGGATTTTAGTCCCTATTGTGATAGTACTGTAACTATTGTTTCTCATGTTAGGTAAATTTTATTATCCCCTTTATAGGGCCTGGATTGTCCCCTTAGCCTTCTGCTCAAGTGGCCCTACATGCATCTGAACTCTTATCTGTTTGTTCCTCTCTTTCTCCTTCTATTTGCCTTTGTTCAGGAATAATTTCTCATACCCCACAACAAGAATACCTGTTATGTAGGAGGGCACAAAGTTGCACTTGTAGATAATATGATTGTCTATATGAAACATTCAAAAAAATCAAACAAGCCTAAATAAGAGAGTAAAGTAGTCAGATGTAAAATAAATACAAAAAATTATTATCATTTCTACATATATTACTGTTTCTGAAATATAATGTGAAGTCCCATTCATGATTGTAACCAAAAACCATAAATAGTTAGGAATCTTTAAGAAGAAATTTATATGACAAAAAGTACAAAATTTTATTGGGAGATGTAAAAGACTTAAATATTGGAGAGATAAATTAAGAACTGAATAAAGATGTCAGTACTTCCTATACTAATTTAGAGATTAGATCCAGTTTCAGTCAAAACTTGGCTTTTCTGTTTGTTTTTAATTGGAGAACGTATTTTTACTCTAGTAAAAGGATTCTAATAATCATGGGGCAGCAAACATGGTTGAAAGTAACCAAGACAGTTACAATAAAGAAGAAAAAGGTATGCAGAGAAAGAGCTTGCCCCAGCTGCTACTGTCCATAGTATAGGCTGAAAATACCTATCATATGTAAAAATATAAAGCCTGATACAAATAGTGTCTCAATGAAGAAAGGATTATTGAGTCAACAATTTTGGATCAGCTAAATATCTGAAGAATTACTTGGATTCTTTCTTGTGTGTGTGTGCTCAGTCACTAAGTCGTGTGCAACTCTTGTGGCTCCATGGACTGTGGCCCACCAGGCTCTGCTGTCCATGGGATTTTCCAGACGAGAATATTGGAGTGGGTTGCCATGTCCTTCTCCAGGGAATCTTCCCAACCCAGGGATCGAACCTGCATCTCTTGCATTGGAGGGCAGATTCTTTACCACTAAACCACCTGGTTTGTATCATATATAAAAATTAAACTTCAGATAGATTAAAGAATTGTACGTAAAGTAAAAATTTACAAGAGAATAAAATGTAGGTGACTACCAGTGTCTGTAATAGGGGAAGGTTTTAAAGATAAAAGTAACAGAAAATATCATAAAAATAAAAATTGATAATGTTGGCTGCTTAAATAGTAAAAATACATTTTAAAAAACCCTTCCACTTACTAAAAATATACCTTGAGTGAAAGTCATTCAGTCATGCTGCCCGATGGACTATACAGTCCATGGAATTCTCTAGGCCAGAATACTGGAGTGGGTGGTCTTTCCCTTCTCCAGGGGATCTTCCTGACCCAGGAATCGAACCAGAGTCTCCTGCATTGCAGGTGGATTCTTTACCAACTGAGCTATCAGGGAAGCCAAAATATACCATAAGTAAAATTAAAAGCCAAATGGCAAATTGGGATAAAATATGTATAACAAATACAATAATACCCTTAATGTATAAAGAATTTTTATAAATTAATAAAAATCATTAAATCCCAATAGAAAAATGTACAGAGGACATGAATGAGTAGTAAGAGAAAAATTGACACTGGTAAAATATATATATATGATTTTAAAAAGTACCAACCTTGTCAATAATTAGACAAGTGCCAATTAAAAATGATTGAAAAATACCATTATTCATCTGTCAATTTGGGAACTACTTTTTACTTGTGGGGATATATCAAGATAGGCAGTGTTATATACTGTGGTAGGATTATTATAAAATGATAAAACCTCTCTGGAAAAGATTTGAAAGCCTATTTCAAGAGCATTAAAATACTCAACACACCTTTTAACAATTTGCCTTCATGAAGTATTGTCAAAGATTTCAGTATAAAAATGTTCATTGCAACAGCTTTTATAATACTAAAAACTTAGAAATTACTAAGTCTGTGACAGTAAAGAATTAATGTGGAATAGAGGAATTAAATTATGAAACCAATCATATGATGAAATATGGGGGCATTAAAAATTGTAATGTATAGCTGTATACATTGTAATATAAAAATTATAATGTATGCTTATAGGTGTGGGAAAGAGCTTAAAATACTGATATCTGAACTGAAAAAAGGAATGCAAACTTTTACGTAGTACCAAATTAATATCAGTTATTTCTTACTAGTTGATTTTGGATGATTGTGATTTCTTTACATTTTTTGGTAGTTTTCCAAGTTTTTATAGTGATAATGTATTTTGCAATTAGAACCAAAAATAATAAATTTAGATTTTTAAAAAAGAAACAGTTAATGTTCAAGCAAATGAAAGATGTAATGAGTTTCCAATTTTTTAATTAAGATAAATTTAAAACAAATCTAAAGAAAGTTAACAGCATTTGTCTTTAAGTGATATATTGATAATTTATTTTTAACTTATTTCTATTTGTTTTATAACTTTTGCTCAGTCCAGTTTGTTCAGTTAACGTCTGATATTTTCATAATCAAAACTTTGTCTATTAAAAAAAATGATATCCTTACTAGAGGTTTAGTGAATACCAGTCATATCTAATCTTGAATCTCGTTGTGGGCGTCATTGACTTTGTCCATGTGTTGTTATATTTAGGTTATGTTTATTTTCACCTGTTTTGTTTTACTAATACCTAATGGTTTTTCTTAAAAAAAGTCTCTACAGTGCACTTCTGCCTTTGGTTCCTGAAAAGAGACTTAATTACTTAAATATAAATTGCTAGAAAGTTCGTGATAACTTAACCTAATCACTGTTGGCATTTAAAAGTATCTGCATCTATTAGAAGTTCAAAATATATAAACCAGTTTCTTTTTCATTATGACTCTATATCCAACAAAATAAAACAGAAATCACTATGTAGAGGAAACAGCACCTGCTTGATTATGTTCTTTTGATAAATTGTGTCGCTTTTCTCACTGTTCAGAAGAAGCAGTCTGTTTTCATGTGGTATAACTGAGTATGAATCAAGTTCAGTACCTTCTCCCGTTTGTCCAATTTCCAGTCCACCTCTGAGTGGAGTTCCTCTTTAGCTATATACTATGGTAAACATTAAACCTACTGCTTTGGAGGCTATCCTCTCACCAAAACTCAGGGAAAATGGGAAGGAATTGGAATTCATGGAATTAAGAAATGTTTGAGAGTTCTCTCAAAGAATGAGGTAAGAAATGTGTGTGAATGAATAGTTATGATGGGTATTCACTTATATCAGTATATAGTGTATGTTTTCATTTTATTTCTGTTAAATATGAGGTCTGGAATGCCTTTTCATTTTGCAGAATTCTTAGACTGCAGTTCCAACTTTGAGAGGGCAGCAGCCATGATTATACTTGGTCTATTTATTAGTCAAATGGAGTGAAAGCTTCATTCTGCTTTCTTGATTACCTTGTTTAATAATATATTCAAATTATGACCTTTAACGTAATTTCTTCCCTTCCTAGCTTGGTGCTAACAGTGGTTTGCACATCATCATCTTTGATGAAATTGATGCCATCTGCAAGCAGAGAGGGAGCATGGCTGGCAGCACAGGGGTTCATGACACTGTTGTCAACCAGCTGCTGTCCAAGATTGATGGCGTAGAGCAACTGAACAACATCTTAGTCATTGGTATGTTTGCTTGATTAAAAATAAAGTACTGTGATTTCAAAAATGTTCGATATGCAGGTTCCAAATTCAGATTTGTGTAGCTTGTAATTTTATATGTAATTTTTGAGTGTAATTTTTATATGTAATTACATATAAAATTTATATGCAATTTTATACAAACATTTTGGCCAATGTTGCCAAATTAGAAGTGATGTTGAAGAATTTCATTGTTTTAATGTCTAGCCACAATAAACAAACTCTGGGCAAACTCTAGGCAAACTTGGGCAAACTCCGGGAGATAGTGAGGGACAGAGAAAGCTGGTGTGATGCAGTATGTGGGGTCATAAAGAGTCGGACGGAGCTTAGCAACTGAACAATAACAACAAGTCACAAGTCACAAATGAAAGATAAGTTCTTGTGACTCATGGCTTTAAACCTGTAGTTAACAGATGAAAAAGGCAGCACTGTGTAAGTGGTGGCTTTCACATTGGTTTCTGTAGGCCTCCAAGGGTCCTCTCTTCAGGTTCTGTGCGGGCCAGGGCAGATCATGCATCCCTATTATAACTTATTGTTAACTGCCTATGTACTCAAGTTCTTCTTAAGATGACTTTGAAAACAAAACACAAATTATGCTATTTATGAAGGTTGAAAACCTTTCACCTACAAAAAAGAGATCTTGAGGTCAGATAGATGTTCACATTGCCCCTCTCTCACTTTGTTTTTGACAGCTTATCTACCCATTTGAACCTAAAGTTTTCTTTTTAAATATTTGATGCTTTCATTACATTTATATTCCACTGGTGTGTACAGTAGTGAAATACTAAGGCAAAGTCCCCAGATATTTTCCTTAGGTTAAGAACAAATGATATTTTTGAAAATCATTGCTTTTCTATTTGACTTTTATGAAATTGTCCTCTTAGCTTGTCAAGGAAATTCTTGCAACTATTCTTGCATATGCTAAAAGGGTATTTTATCTTATTTTTGAATTCTGATCATTTGTGTATTCTTTTAACACCTGTGCTCAGGAATGACCAACAGACCAGATCTGATCGATGAGGCTCTCCTTCGACCTGGAAGACTGGAAGTTAAAATGGAGATAGGTAAATATCTCTGTCACTGATTGGGGTAGGGGGTTGTAATTAGAGTTCATTAGCAGGAGCAAAGTCATATACCTTAATATTTGTTAGAAAAGTCATATATCATGAAAAGCAGATATTTATACACTTGAGTGGCTATAAGAAGAACATCAGGATTATAATTATCTATTTGATTTCCAATGTTATCAGGCTTACCAGATGAGAAGGGCCGATTGCAGATCCTTCACATCCACACAGCAAGGATGAGAGGGCATCAGTTACTCTCTGCTGACGTAGACATTAAAGAACTGGCCGTAGAGACCAAGAACTTCAGCGGCGCTGAACTGGAGGGTCTGGTGCGAGCAGCACAGTCCACTGCTATGAACAGACACATAAAGGTCAGTAAAATCAACTGCCAGGTTAGAAGTCTGCAGCCCTGTAAGTCCTGCGCTAGTGTTCTTCCCCTTGTCTTTCAAGCATTCCAAGGGCTAGACTAATACTAACTTTTGATGGAGAACAGACATGATGAAAGGTATTAATTAATTGTCAACTGCTACATCTTCAGAGTAGTTGGAAAAAAGATAATGGTAGCATCTGCCCCGTGGAAACTACTGACCCATTTAACTTAGGTTGCCCCCATTTGATGCAGGTATGTGAAGATGGTGATTTTGAAGAATTGTTTAGAAACTTGTGCTGTGTTGACTTGTAACATGTCATAGGAAGTTGGATGTCCTACATGCTAGAATTTTGGGGGCTGCTTCATTAAGTCAACATATTAAATACCTGCTTGCTGTTTTCAAAGTATTAAGCTAGAGACACAAAGGTAATGAAGCACAATCTCTTCCCACAAAGAATAGACGGTCAGGGAAATGGATGTGTTTGCAAATTAATACAGTAATGTTATTGATGCTTTAAGAGAAATACATACAAAAGATACTTTTATTTTGGTTAATAAAGCTTGATAAAGTGCATTTGATCCTTTGTTATCCCTTCTCTTCAGGTTTTACTTATCACCTGTAGTTTGATGACTCCCAGATTTATGTCTCATCTTTTAAAAGTATATTTCTCCGACTTTCCGTTTTATACCTGGATGTTTTATCAGGTTTCAGATTTAATATTCCAAAACCAAATTCACTTTTTTTTTTTTACTACTTTCTTTCCTGCTCCTGCTTCCCTATTTATCCCAATTTCCTAGGCTTAAAAATCCAAGATTATCTTTGATTTCTACCACTCTACTGTGTCCTACCTCAATTTATTTGCCAGATTTTGTCTGTTCTGTCTTGACAGTATCTTTCAGATCTCATTGCACTACTGATCTTCTGTTTGATTAATCTTCCTGTTTCATAGCATTCTACTCTTCAGAACCTTTCAGTGGCTAACCATGATCTACAGAACAAAGAACAGATGTCTCAGCCTGGTCTTTAAGGTCCTTTTAGACATGACCTTAAATTGGCCCTTCTTGATGTGTTCTCAGTTATTCTTCATACACTTCAGCCAAGCTGAAATATTTACCAATCATCAGATATTAATGTATTTTACTACTTTTCTGATGTTGCTTTTTTTTTTTTTTATGCTTTACTGAGAATCTTTACCCTCTATGTTGCTTATCTTTTCTTTCTTTCTTTTTTGGCTGTGCCACAAAGCATATGGAATCTTAGTTCCCTGACCAGAAATTGAACCCACACCCCCTGCATTGGAAGCACAGAGTCTTAACCACTGGACTGCCAGGGAAGTCCCTACTTATCTTTTTGTTACCTGACTCATGTACCACCACTTTCTTCAAAAAATTTTCTGATTCTCCCTTTCAAGAATGATGTGTTCTCTTCCTTCTTGAACTAGTAATGTATCAGGAATTCCCTGGTGGTCCAGTGATTAGGACTTGGTACTTTTACTGCCATGGCCCAGGTTCAGTCCCTGGTTGGAGAGCTGAGATTCAGTAAGCCCCATGGCACGGCCAAAAAAAAAAAAGAAAATATAGTAATGTATCACTTATAATACCTTCTGTTGACTTTCAGTCAATGGATTTATTTAGCCTACTGTATGCCAGACACAGTGCTAAGGGTTAATGCTCCCATTTCCTCCCCTTGAGCAGCTCACAGTCTAATCCTCCACATACAGTAATAGAAAGTACATGCAAGGTAAGAAAGTGAAAAGGTGTCAGGTGTGGTCAGCTTATCAAGTGAGAGGAGCTTTCACAGAGGAATTTCTGGGTGAACATGCTTCCTTGTGGGGTCAGGCATTTTAGGCAGAAAGAACAACATATGCAAAGGAACAGAGACACACAATAGCATGGTATGTTAAGGATAATTCAGTATTGCTTCAGCATAAAAGGTAGGGAAGGGGAGTAGAGACGCGGTGGGGGATGAGTCGGGAGGCTAAAGCAGGGGATGGAGCACAAAGAGCCTTTTATATTGTGCTCAGAAGTACGGACGCCTTTTCTGTGAGTGTGCTAAGTCACTGAAGAGTTTTAAGAATAGCAGTGGTATAGTGTTAAAACATAAGCTCACTCTGGCAGATGTGTTGAGTGGAGTATTTAGGGGAGTGAAGTTGGCAACATGAGACAAGAGAGGGGAACTTGTGTAACAATTCACGCAGAAAATAATAAAAGCCTAACAGGTTGAGTGTGTTTTGTTTGGGTATACCCTAGCAATTGCTTTAAACCAGGGGTTGGTAAACTATGGTCCACAGGCCATATCCGGCCAACTGTCAGTTTTTAGAAATAAAGTTTTTGGGACCCACCTGTTTGTTTATGTGTTTTCTGTAGCTGCTTTCATGCTGCAATGGCAGAATCAGTATCTGCAACAGAAACTGCGTGGCTCACAAAGCCTAAAATATTTACTGTCTAGCCCTTCATGGAAAAAGTTTGTCAACCCTTGTTCTAGACTTGAAGTCCTTGTCTTATTCATTTCTGAATCTCTCATAGTATCTAGGTCTTGATACTGAGAATATGGTAGCTGCTTAGTAAATATTTTTTAAATTAGTAAATGTGTATTCTAAATCAAACTCTATCTATAAATCATAATTAATTCCCTTGCGTAATTGACTTTGTTCTCGCTCAAGAATGCCATAATGCAAGGGTCCTCAACCCCCTGGGCCAGGAACTGGTACCAGTTCATGGTCTATTAGGAACTGGACCACAGAGCAGGAGGTGGTCAAGGGAGCGAAGCTTCATCTGTCATTCCCTGTCGCTCACATTACCACCTGAACCCTCCCCGATTTGTGGAAAAATTGTCTTCTACAAAAGCAGTCCCTGGTGCCAAAAAGGTTGGGGACGACTGCCATAATGGAAGAGGCCACTTTAGACAAGGTGTTAAATGTCTTTAAAATACTGGAGACCCTGTGGTGAGGAGGATAGTAGTACTACTGCTTTAAAAAACAAAACAAAAGACCCCCAAGAATGCCAAAGGACTGAATAGTGTGGGAAATAAGTGCTAGAGCCTTTATAGGTGGATCTGCTCATTTCATTCATCCATTCTTCCTCCTTGCTGTAAGAAATGTCTTAGGAAAAGTGATAAAGTGATGGTGACTTCAAGAGAAATTATATAAATGTTGTGGAAACTGCTCCCCACTGTTCTGATCTTTCACCTCAGTCCACCATCAGTGCTTCTTGATACTATAATCCACAATTACTAGTTTATTAGTTATCAGATTTTTCATATGCATTAGCTACTGGATTTTTATCTTATTTAGTCATTTGTCATTTTTATCACAATAACCTTATCCCCAAATGTCTCTGAAGCCGTTCTTAAGAAATGTGCTTTCTTCCAGCATGTATTGGATTTATTTACACCCAAGACAATGAGGAATGGTGGAATGGTGACAGGTTTTGTAGTCAGAAGGTGTGGTTATGTGTTACAGTTCTTTCTACTTTTTTGTTTCTGATTTGTCAAGAGGAAATAACTACCTATTTCATCAAGTTTTTGTGAAAATAAAATCAAATACTGTTTGTAAAAGTGCCTTACAAACTATATAAATGTTTGTTGTTATTTCCATTTTTGTTATTATTGCTAATTTGAGAAGGTACTGTAAATATCCATTTCCATATGTGAGTTTTTTAAGATTTTTGTTAACTATTTGCAGTTATAATATTTCTAATTTAAAGGTAAAATGTTTAACCACCACTGTACAGAATATATTATCCTTTAGATTTGCAAGTAAGAAGTAGTACAAATAGTGGACATTATTTCCCTCACTTTTTCCATGTGGTTAAATTATCTTTAAACTTAGGTAATGCATATAGCCTTGTGACCAACACTTTTTGTACCAAACAGATTTTGATTTTTTTTGAGTATCTGTGGAATAGCCAATGCAAAGGACTTCATAGGTACCTCAGGAAAAAGAGAGATGTGTAAGACACTAACCTCAGAAAAGAAAGAGTACTATTTGCTCTCTTTTTTGCATTAAAAAAAAAAAATCTGCACTGCCCAGGTCTTTAAACATTGTTTTCCCAGCAGGACTCTTCCTCAGTTGAACAAAAAGCACACGGTTTTAGTATTCTCATTGCTGTATATATTCAGAACTTTATTAGTGATAATTGATGAGTAAGTATTTAATTTGAAGCTTAATGACTTACAGTTGGTGTAGAACTTATGCACAGCATCCGTCTGTTTATTATGACGTTCTTCCTTTGTATTATAAAAAGCCATTGAGAATTTCCTGGCTATCCAGTTGGTTAGGACTCAGCACCTTCACTGCCAGGGCCTGGGTTCAGTCCCTAGTTGGGGAACTAAGGTCCTGTTAATTGCATGGCGTGGCCAAATAAATAAATAAATAAAGCCATTACTCGTGTGTTTTGCTGCTTTTTCAAAATAATTAGACTTGACAAAGTCAGATGGAATAAACTAAACAAGTCTTCGCTGTTAACCTGTTTTTCTCAGATTTTCTGAAACAAGTGGAAGATCCAGTCACAAACGCCTGATGTTCATGTCATTTATACTTAGATCCATGTTTGTGGTCAACTAAAATTCATGTGACATTTGATTGTTTTTAGCTGAAAGGAATTTCTGCTTCAGGTAGAGAAGATTCATAACTAAATTTCTTCTGTGCTAATCTGTTATAAGGAAATAAATGCAGGACACACATGCACTTTATAAGGGAATCAAAGCTGATTTGTGTTTATAGAATTTCAATAAAATTATTTTTTATTTTCTGTAGAATTTTGATTGATTAAGGTAATTCCACCCTTAATTTAAGAGGAATGATAAGAACTTTGAAAGGTCAGATTTAAAAGGTTATTAAATTTAAGGGTGACCACTGGATATTTGCTAGTGTTGAAATACAAGTTTATTAGTTTCTGCAGGTATAAGCTGAAAGATGTTGCCTCTTCTATATTGATTAGCTGTTATAAATAAAATGCAGAGAAAAAAAATCGATCTAATTCAGACTAGTGAGAAAAGTTTTTCTGAATGAATAAAAATTCAGAATTGTAGATTTTTTTAAATTTTTAAATTTTTGAAAAAATCGTAAAAGTTAACCAAGAGAAGTCTTTAAGAAACTTATTTTAATGAATAGGTAGAAGAAGTTTATAATTGTAGTATTGCTTACTTACGATTAGGTAACTTATAAAATTCACGGAGGCCTGAAAACAACCTGTTCTAAAGTAACTGTCCCTCAACCATCTTCAGTTCAGTTCAGTCTCTCAGTCGTGTCCGACTCTTTGCGACCCTGTGAACTGCAGCATGCCAGGCCTCCCTGTCCATCACCAACTCCCGGAGTTTACTCAAACTCGTGTCCATTGAGTCAGTGATGCCATCCAACCATCTCATCCTCTGTCGTCCCCTTCTCCTCCTGCCCTCAATTTTTCTCAGCATCAGGGTCTTTTCAAATGAGTCAGCTCTTCGCATCAGGTGGTCAAAGTATTGGAGTTTCAGCTTCAACATCAGTCCTTCCAATGAACACCCAGGACTGATCTCCTTTAGGATGGACTGGTTGGATCTCCTTGCAGTCCAAGGGACTCTCAAGAGTCTTCTCCAACACCACAGTTCAAAAGCATCAATTCTTCGGTGCTCAGCTTTCTTTATAGTCCAACTTTCACATCCATACATGACCACTGGAAAACCATCTTAATTCACCTTAATTCATTGAGTGAGTCCTTTCTTAATAGTAAAAATATGAGTTGTTTTTACTATTGTTGCAGTAATATTGTTGTCACACTTGTTGCAGTCCTAGAATCTCTCATATTTTTCAGCAAATGCCAAAAGATAGACAAGATTTTCCTTTCATATTGCTATATGTTTCTGTCATTTGAATGCAGGTTCACTCTAAGAGGAAATCATAATAGTATTTCATAACACTGTTATGAAAACACTTGCCCATGCCTCCCTGTGTACACATGAGAATAATTTTCTGGGGTAATGATAACCTGGTAGATTTTTGAAGACATGGTTACATTGTCTCCTAGTTTCTAGTCTTTATTTCAATTCCTTTTACAGGTGAACTGTTTTTATCTCTCAGAAAGGGTCTAGAAATTTCTCTTCACCTTTGGTGCTCTGATAGCTTACAGTAGTGTGTCTAGACAGGTATAAGTTTCTTCCTGTTTACCCCGATTACTCATTGAAACCTTTAAACTGCAAAGATACACCTTTCTTCAGCTAGGGAAATTTTTTTCTTCTTTTATTGTTTTTTTCTCTCTCATTCTTTCTCTTCTCTCCTTCCTCTGAGACTTGTCTTAGATTAGGAAGTTAAAAACTTCCAGATTCATGTTCCCTGCTTTTGAACCTTTCTCTCTCACTTTCTGTGATTCATGGGATTTGGGGCAGGAAGGGAGATAAATAAGTGTATCTGGTTTGCCGTCTTGTTCCAGTTTTCTGACAGTTCTTTTTATCCCATCAGGCTGAGATTTTATAAAATGTCTGTCATTTTATTTGTCTCAGCAGTCAGTTTGTAAGGGACATGACTCATATTTTATAATCATCTTTAGAAGATTGATATTACTTAACATAGTTTGGTTTTATAGTCAGGTTTTTGAAGATAGGTTTTTTTAAAAAAACAAAAACCCATAGTACCATTTTAAAAATCAGACTCACTTGCCTTGTGCTATTGGGAGTGAGCCCAGTCACATGAAAAAGTGTGTTGGTATCTCAATCACTCATCAGGTGCAGGCAGCTCCAAGTGCTGATAAAGGCCTTGATGCTTCTCCAGATGTCTCTTCTATGTAGGAGCTCCAGGTGCAATGAGCAGAGTATTTGGAGCTGGCACACTGGGTCGTGAGCACAAAGTATGAGTAAAAATCAAAGTCGTAGGTCCTTGGTCTCCTAAGATAAAGCTCCAGAACCACCTGTGCACTTTATAAAAATATGAATTCCTGTACCCTCTCCTGGGCCTGTTAAGTCAAAATCCTACAGGTTTGAACTGGGCACGTGTGTGTGTGTGTGTGTTTGTGTGTGTGTTTATCATTCTGATAGGCAGCCAAGAATGAGAACCACCTTCTGAGAGACCCCCCTCTTTATATTTTCTTCTCTTTGTGCCTCATTTTTGGGGGGGAAATGGCTATCTAATGCTCTTCGATATAGATGTGTTATAATTCACTTAACTGGTACCCTCTCCATGGACTTTTAATGTACTCCTGTCTTCTGCTCTTAGATATTGCTATAGTAGATCTCCTGGTGCATACAACTTTGTGCACATTTGTGAATATATTCGTGGGATAAACACCTACAAGTGGAATCGTTCAGGTGAAGGACGTATATATATTTGTGAATTTGTTTTTTATGTTTTTTATTCTGTGGAAATAGGCCTTTTAAATCCTCAGGTGTTATATTCTTAGCTGAAAATATTCTTTAATCTTGGAAGTCCTTTACATTGTGTTTTCATTTCTCATTAGGCCAGTACTAAAGTGGAAGTGGACATGGAGAAAGCAGAGAGCCTGCAGGTGACAAGAGGAGACTTCCTCGCTTCTTTGGAGAATGATATCAAACCAGTGAGTGCAAATATCAAGTGATGCATAAGTCAAAAAAACAAATCAGGAGAAAAATAAGTGCCGTTTTACCCCATATTTTGGAAGATTATATCATGTGTAGTTTTTTAAAAAACATAAAATCTCAGTAGTGTAAGTGTCCAGCATAAGAAATATCTGTTCAATAACTCTGTGCTGTGCTGTGTTGCTCAGTCGTGTCTGACTCTTTGCAACCCATGGACCCATGGACTGTAGCCCGCCAGGCTACTCGGTCCATGGGGATTCTCCAGGCAAGAATACTGGAGTGGGTTGCCATGCCCTCCTCCAGGGGATCTTCCCAACCCAGAGATAGAACCCAGGTCTCCCGCATTGCAGGCGGATTTTTTACCCTCTGAGCCACCAGGGAAGCCAAGACTTACTGAAATATTTCTCATGATAGGGAACTCACCATCCTGTAAGGCAGGCCATTCAATTTTGAGACTTTCTAACAGTTCTTAAATTGCTTTCAACTAGTTTTCTCATTGGTTCTTTATATGTCTGAAGCTACAGAAACCTAAATTCATCCTAATTCATCCATCCTTCATATACAGACTGACATTTAAAATTAACTCTCATCTCTTTTCTACCTTTCCCCAACCTCTTCCACGGCATTCCTTTCTCTTGCTCAACATCTCTAGTTCCTCTCACTACTCTCATTTCTGAAACTTTTAATTATGCTCAGTGCCCTTTTTAAAAAAGGTCAATTTTCTTAAAATATACTTAAAACTCAATAGTCATAGTTGGAGTTTTAGCATATATTATAAGGTACATCAGCCTGTTTCCTGTAAAACAACCACTCATGTTTGAGTAACTATATTAGTACAAAAATAAATTGTAGAAAGGGCTCTTTAAAAGGTGTGTGTGCTTTTTTCTTTCTTAAATGGACCTTGGGTGCACGGAATTGGATGCATCTTAATCTTTAGTTGATGACATACAGTCATTAGTCTACAGTGTATAAAATAAAATGTAGTATATATTAATTTTCTGAGACTTTGTTTTGTTACATATTTTATTATGAGGAGTCATCTGTATGATTTTCTGTGCCATACCTCATTTATTTTCATTGCTGAATAACATTGCATTGTGCGACTGCCACAGTTTGTCTGTTTTCCTGTCAATGGACAGTTGAAATATTACCAGTTTTTTGTTATTACAAACAGGTGCTGCTAAGGCATCCTTGAGTGAGTTTCTCCTAGATATATATATTTAGCAATAAAATTGCTGGGTTGCTGGGAATATCAATGTCCAACCTTGAACTAATTCAAAATGTTTTCCTAGTGGTCAAACCAATAAACACTTCGTCCAATAATGTAAAGAAAAGTGAAAGTTGCTCAGTTGTGTCTGACTCTTTGGGACCCCATGAACTATACAGTCCATGGAATTCTCCAGGCAAGAATACTGGAGTGGGTAGCCTTTCCCTTCTCCAGGGATCTTCCCAACCCAGGGATCGAACTCAGGTCTCCTACCATTGCGTGCTAATTCTTTACCAGCTGAGTCATAAGGGAAGCCCTCAATAATGCAAAAGAGATCCTATTCTCTACATCCTGTACAGCAGTTGGTATTGTCAGACTGAATTTTTGCCATTCAGTTAGATGTAAAAATTGGAGAAGGAAATGGCAACCCACTGCAGTATTCTTGCCTGGAAAATCCCATGGATGGAGGAGCTACATTCCATGGGGTCGAAGAGTTGGACACAACTGAGTGACTTCACTTTCACTATTCTTTCTAGATATAAAAATAGGATCTGATTTTTGTCTTAATATGGATTTCACTGGTTACCTATGAATAATTATTTCTTCATATGTTTGTCAGCCATATGAGAATCTTCTATGATATGCCATTCATGTCTTTTGCCTATTTTTCTGTTGTTTGTTTTTATTTGATTTGTATAAATTCTTTATATACTCTTGACAATAATTGTTGAACTTACCTCCTTTAAAGACAGAAATTAGCTTGTTTTAGTCCTGTCTGCTTTTTTTATGACTGTTGTGACTTTTAAATATAAAAAACTTTCAGCAGTGGAAATGGTTTAATATTTTGCTGTTGTTATTCATAGTAATTACCAAAAATATTAGAGCCCAGCATAATCAAACTATCTTAAAATTTTTTAAAGCACGTAATTTGGCTATAAGGAAGAGGCAATTATGACAACTTAGTTAAGTAAGCAGTAACTTACTTTTATTTATTCCAGGAGTCTGGGGGATAAAATGAAAAATGAATGATAGGATGAGTAAGGATGACTATATATGTTATGTAGTAGTTTAAGAGGGTCACTGTTTTCTGGTTCAGGTATCTTAACACTGCTATGAGGCTTGGGAGTATATATCTGGGGTAATTAAAGACAAAAACCAGCCAATCTACATATTTCCTACAACAGCCTTCTAGTCCGTATTTATTAGGCCCTTCCTTTGTAACTTTTTCTAGGGCCATTGAATTTACCATATCCAGAACAGGGAGTACTCAGGAATCAAAGCACTAGTATATGAAGAGACCAAATAGTAGTCTGAAGAATGATTTGGTAGCAAGGTGATTGAGTGATGAGACCACTGTATACTGTTTAGAGACACTATTACAAAGGATGACTTTCTGTGAGGAGCATGTTCTAAAGAACTGTTAAGATTTTTCCATAATTGGGGAATGAAAAATTAACTTGAGGGTTGTGATCATTTTTTTCAATTCAAAATTCTCAAGGTATATGACTTTTACATTACACTGGGTTTTATTTTCCTACTCATTTCTTCTCCTAACCTTATGGAAATGCTATTCAGTTAAGTAAATAGCTACTAAAGTTTTAAACTGCTTTTGGCAGTGGGTTTGATGGGAGTTGCAATTTGAGATTAGAAGCTGAAAATAAAGAGGGATGTGATTTAAGCCCCAATATGTAGTGCAAATAAAGTTATAATGTATAGCAATCACTTTCCTTTCCTTACCCTTCAATCTTTCATTACCTTGCTCATTTCTACCTCTTGCTAAATCATACATTTATATACACACTTACCTTGGTGAAATTTGACTTATGTCCTCTACCACCAGACTTATGTGGACAGGATCTCTTCATTACCACTTCACACTTTTTTAAAATTTTATTTTTATTTATTATTTTTTATTGGACTATAATTCCTTTACAGTGTTGTGTTTCTGCTGTACAATGAGGTGAATCAGCTATCAAGTTCAGTTCAGTCGCTCAGTCATGTCTGACTCTTTGTGACCCCGTGGACTGCAGCATGTCAGGCCTCCCTGTCCATCACCAACTCCTGGAGTTTACCCAAACTCATGTCTTTTGAGTTGGTGATGCCATCCAACCATCTCATCCTCTGTCATCCCCTTCTCCCCCTGCCTTCAGTCTTTCCCAACATGGGGGTCTTTTCAAAATGAGTCAGTTATTCACATCAGGTGGCCAAAGTATTGGAGTTTCAGTTTCAGCATCAGTCCTTCCAGTGAACACCCAGGACTGATTTCCTTTAGGGTGAACTGGTTGGATCTCCTTTCTGTCCAAGGGACTCTCAGAGTCTTCTCCAACACCACAGTTCAAAAGCATCAATTCTTCAGTGCTCAGGTTTCTTTATAGTCCAACTCTCATATTCATACATGAGTACTGTAAAATCATAGCTTTGACTAGACTGACCTTTTTTGGCAAAGTAATGTCTCTGCTTTTTAATAAGCTGTCTAGGTTGGTCATAACTTCTCTTTCAAGGAGAAAGTATCTTTTAATTTCATGGCTGCAGTCACCATCTGCAGTGATTTTGGAGCCCCCCAGAATAAACTCTGTCACTGTTTCCACTCTTTGCCCATCTATTTGCCATGAAGTGATAGGACCAGATGCCATGATCTTAGTTTTCTGAATGTTAAGCTTTAAGCCAACTTTTTCACTCTCTTTCACTTTCATCAAGAGACTCTGTAGTTCTTCTTCGCTTTCTGCCATAAGGGTGGTGTCATCTGCATATCTGAGGTTATTCCGGCAATCTTGATTCCAGCTTGTGCTTCATCCAGCCCAGCGTTTCTCACGATGTACTCTGCACATAAGTTAAATAAGCAGGGTGACAATGTATAGCCTTGATGTACTCCTTTCCCTATTTGGAACCAGTCTGTTGTTCCATGTCCAGTTCTAACTGTTGCTTCCTGACCTGCATACAGACTTCTCAAGAGGCAGGTCCGGTGGTCTGGTATTCCCATCTGTTTTAGAATTTTCCACAGTTTATTGTGATCCACACAGTCAAAGGCTTTGGCATAGTCAATAAAGCAGAAATAGATGTTTTTCTGGAGCTCTCTTTTTCAGTGATCCAATGGATGTTGGCAATTTTATCTCTGGTTCCTCTGCCTTTTCTAAATCCAGCTTGAACATCTGGAAGTTCACGGTTCATGTACTGTTGAAGCCTGGCTTGGAGAATTTTGAACATTACTTTACTAGCATGTGAGATGAGTACAGTTGTGTGGTATTTTGAGCATTCTTTGGCATTGCCTTTCTTTGGGATTGGAATGAAAACTGACCTTTTCCAGTCCTGTGGGCACTGCTGAGTTTTCCAAATTTGCTGGTGAGTGCAGCACTTTCACAGCATCGTCTTTTAAGATTTGAAATAGCTCAACTGGAATTCCATCACCTCCACTAGCTTTGTTTGTAGTGATGCTTTCTAAGGCCCACTTGACTTCACATTCCAGGATGTCTGGCTCTAGGTGAATGATCACACCATTGTGATTATCTGGATCATGAAGATCTTTTTTGTACAGTTCTGTGTATTCTTGCCACCTCTTCTTAATAGCTTCTGCTTCTGTTAGGTCCATACCATTTCTTTCCTTTATTGTGCCCATCTGTGCATGAAATGTTCCCTTGGTATTTCTTAAGTTTCTTGAAGAGATCTCTAGTCTTTTCCATTCTATTGTTTTCCTCTATTTCTTTGCATTGATCACTGAGGAAGGCTTTCTTATCTCTCCTTGCTATTGTTTGGAACTCTGCACTCAAATGGGTATATCTTTCCTTTTCTCCTTTGCCTTTCGCTTCTCTTCTTTTCTTTTCACAGCTGTTTGTAAGGCCTCCTCAGACAACCATTTTGCCTTTTTGCATTTCTTTCTCTTGGGGATGGTCTTGATCCTGATCCCTGCCTCCTGTACAGTGTCATGAACCTCCATCCATAGTTCTTCAGGTACTCTATCAGATCTAATCCCTTGAATCTATTTGTCACTTCCATTGTATAATCGTAAGGGATTTGATTTAGGTCATACCTGAATGGTCTAGTGGTTTTCCCTACTTTCTTCAATTTAAGTCTGAATTTGGCAGTAAGGAGTTCATGATCTGAGCCACAGTCAGCTTCCAATCTTGTTTTTGCTGACTATATAGAACTTCTCCATCTTTGGCTGCAAAGAATATAATCAGTCTGATTTGAGTGTTGGCAATCTGGTGACATCCATGTGTAGAGTCTTCTCTTGTGTTGTTGGAAGAAGGTGTTTGCTATGACCAGTGCGTTCTCTTGGCAGAACTCTATTAGCCTTGCCCTGCTTCATTCTGTACTCCAAGGCCAAATTTGCCTGTTACTTCAGGTATCTCTTGACTTCCTACTTTTGCATTCCAGTCCCCTATAGTGAAAAGGACATCTTTTTGGGGTGTTAGTTCTAGGAGGTCTTGTAGGTCTTCATAGAACTGTTCAGCTTCAGCTTCTTCAGCATTATTGGTCAGGGCATAGACCTGTGATACTGAATGGTTTGCTTTGGAAATGAACAGAGATCATTCTGTCATTTTTGAGGTTGCATCCCAGTACTGCATTTCAGACTCTTTTGTGGACTGTGATGGCTACTCCATTTCTTCTAAGGGATTCTTGCCTATAGTAGTAGATATAATGGTCATCTGAGTTAAATTCACCCATTCCAGTCCATATTAGTTCGCTGATTCCTAAAATGTTGACATTCACTCTTGTCATCTCCTGTTTGACCACTTCCAGTTTGCCTTGATTCATGGACCTAATGTTCCAGTTCCTCTGCAATGTTGCTCTTTACAGCATCAGGCTTTGCTTCCATCGTCAGTCACATCCACAGCTGGATGTTGTTTTTGCTTTGGCTCTGTCTCTTCAGTCTTTATGTAGAGTTATGTCCACTGATCTCCAGTAGCATATTGGGCACCTACTGATCTGAGGAGTTCATCTTTCAGTGTCCTGTCTTTTTGCCTTCTCATACTGTACATGGGATTCTCAAGGAAAGAACACTGAAGTGGTTTGCCATTCCCATCTCTAGTGGACCACATTTTCTCAGAACTCTCCATCATGACCCATCTGTCTTGGGTGGCCCTACATGGCATGGCTCATAGTTTCATCAAGTTAGACAAGAATCATCTATGTATGTACTTAAATCTCCTCCCTCTTGGACCCCCCTCACACCCACTCCCTCCATCCCACCCATCTAGGTCATCACAGAGCCCCAGTACAATTTCATATTTCCATTTTAATCCCTGACACCTACAGTTGGTGTTAGGGTAGTATCTCTGTGTGCTGAGTCAACCATTTTCATTTTCTAAATCCATATTCTCCCTTTTTCTCTTTGTTCTTAACAGAACAGAAACAGCCCATGTCTTCCTTACAAAAACAAGCATGTTGGAACATACCCTATCTCAGAGATTGAGAGGGCTTGGACTCTCATAGAATCTGAGCCTAGAATCTATTTTTTATTCCATTAACTGATGTAAAAGCAGTTTTTTCCCCTAAATGGGTAAAAAGTTAAGTGAGAAATTATAAAACAATTTTTTTTTATTTTCACTGTTTTTATATTAATATGGGATATTGTTACAGCACTAGCATGTAGGAATTATTACTCATCCTTTATACCTTTAAATATTTAATTTTTAATACTAAAGCTGGAAATGCATTAAACTGTCCTTTTCCTTCATAGGCGTTTGGCACAAACCAAGAGGATTATGCAAGTTACATTATGAATGGTATCATCAAATGGGGTGATCCAGTTACTCGAGTTCTAGAAGATGGGGAACTTCTGGTTCAACAGACTAAAAACAGTGACCGCACACCATTGGTCAGCGTCCTCTTGGAAGGTGAGAAGAAGTGATGAGATGGCATCAAAAGTTTTTTGTTGTTGTTTTTTTAAAAGCACTTACACAAAACCATTTAGCACATTCCAGAAAACTGAATTTTCAGTTCTAAGCTTGTTCATGATCTGAAAATAGCAGTCCATTCTGTGTTCTAATATTGTGCACAAATTTAAATTTTCTTGGAATAGAATGTTACTGATGATTGATAGCAACTAGTTTTCTTATAGGACTGTATCTAAATTTCTGTGTTACTTAATAGACTCTTATAATACAACATAGTACTCAATTCAGTTAAATAAATATTCACTGAGTACTTACTATGTTTCAGGTGTTGAATTGGTTGTGGGAGACACAAAGACATTCACAGAAATCGGTTTGGTCATGAAAAAGGCCTAACTACAATGTTTGTGTGTAAGGGTGTATGAATGCAAGTCATCTTGCCCAGAAGTGGTCAAAGAAACTGTTCAGTATAGACTTTGAAGGATGAGTGAGGATTTTAGCAAGTAGACAAAAAAGGAAGGATATTCTATTCACCAATTTTTTTTTATAGTTATTAGTAGAACAACAGAAAAGTTCATTGAGTCCACATGACAACGGAATCTAGCTCTTTCCAAAGGTCTGAGGGTGAGGGCTCCCTGAGAAACACATTAAACCAAGATCTGAAGGATGAGGAGAACCTGGTTAGGCAGAGTAACTGGGGACAGTGTTCTAAGCACGGCAACCAGTGTATGAAAAAGCCCAGTGCTGGCAAGAGACTGAAACAGAAAGGGAGACTGGCTAAGACATGAGACTGAAGAAGTAGACAGGAGCCAGTTTGTGCAAAGCCTAGTAGACCACGTTAATGATTTAGACTCTTATCTGAGGGGCAACAAGGAGCCATTTGTAGGGTTTTTAGCACTGAAGTGACATGATCAGATTTGTATTTTCAAAACATCATGACCACTTTGTGATAGAGATTGGATTGGAATGGCGAAAATATTAATATACAGGAAAGACCAGTGGTGAGAAGCGGTTGCAGTAGTCTTAATGAGAGCTGATTATGGCTTGACGCTACATAACAGTAGGAGAAATGGAGTTGTGTAGACTATTTTGAGGAATATTTAGGAGGTAGAATAATAGAGATTTTATAATAATTATTGATTAATTATTAAACATAATGAAGCTAACATTCTTTGAACTCTTAACTGTTTGCCAGTCACTCTGCTAGCACTTTACACATACCTTCTCATTTAAACCCCACTTCGTGGGTGGAGAGGGAGGTGGGAGGGGGGACCGGGATGGGGAATACATGTAAAAAAAAAAAAAAAAAAAGATTAAAAAAATAAATAAATAAATAAAATAAACCCCACTTCAGTCCTGCAAGGGTAGATGCTGCTGTATCTGTTATTTTGTAGATGAGAAAGCTGAAGCTCAGAAATAGTAGCTAGATTGAATATGGAGAGAGGTATCAAACATGATCCCCAGGTTTCTGTTATTCAGGGCTGGTGAGTGATGTTGTTTACTAAGAGTGGGAGCTCTAGTAGAGAAGTTCATTTCAGAAACAAAGATCTCGAGTTCATTTCTAGACACAGAAGTTCAAGGTTCCTATAGGATGATTGGGCTTCTCTGGTGGCTCAGCAGTAAAGACTCCATCTGCAGTGCAGGAGATGTGGTTTCAGTTCCTTTGTCAGGAAGATCCCCTGGAGAAGGAAATGGCAACCCACTCCAGTATTTTTGCCTGGGAAATCCCGTAGACAGAGGAGCCTGGCAGGCTACAGCCCATGGGGTCGCAAAAGATTCGGACATGACTTAGTGACTAAACAACAAATATATTCCTTAAACTCGCTGAATCAGTTCTATTCTATGGGATAATTGAACAGAAAATGTTGAGTAGCCCATTGGATATGCAGATGCTCAGAAGACAAGTCTAGCTAGCAGTGTACATTCATGAGTTGTCAGTGTGTAGACTATGGTTCAATCCATGGGAGTGGATGAAGTCACTTAGAGAAAGGGAAGGTTTGAGAAGGAAGAGGGCTCTGGGACTGATCGCTGAGGTATGTCAATGTTGAAGGACTAAGTAAAGCAGGAAGAGTTGACAAAGGAGGTTGAGCAAGAATAACCAGAGAGTTAAGAGAAGGAAAAGAGAACGTGCTGTCACAGAAACCAAGAAAGGTATTGAAAGAAAGAAGAGAGCTGTCAGTTGTATCAAGTACTCCTAAGACGCCAACAGATTACAGTGTTGGATTTGGTGAGATCGAGGTCATTGGTGGCCCTGATGGGAGCCTGTGCCATGTAATGGGAATGGAAGCCATGGGGTTGGTTTGAGGATGGTTGGAAGGTGAGTGAAGGCAGCTGGAGTAGATGATTGTTTAGGGAGGTTCCATTTTGAAGGGACAAGGCAGAGTAGTGTTGATAGAGGTAAAGTCAAAAAGGAGGCTTTTTTATTAAACTGTCAGTAGACTAGAGCATGTTTAAATGCTGTTGGAAAGGCTCCAGGGAAGAGGGAGAGGTGAAACATATTGGGGAGAGGGTTCAGTTGATAATGTCAGATTCCTGAGAAAATGGGAAAGAATGATTGGTCGGTTTATGGGTGGGAGAGGGGCACATTTTTTATTACACAGAAGGGAAGGAGGAATTGTCTAAATACAGGTGAGTTTGTAGATTTGGTTGCCTTCATGAGAAGACCTGAGTCTTTAGTTTTCTAGCCTGGTGGCTCAGCAATAAAGAATCTGCCTGCAATGCAGAAGATTCAGGAGACCTGGGTTCGATCCCTGGGTGGGGAAGAGGCCTTGGAGAAGGGCATGACAACCCACTCCATTATTTTTGCCTGGAGAATCCCATGGACAGAGGAGCTTGGCAGACTTCAGTTCATAGGATCGCAAGGAGTCGGACACGACTGAAGCAACGGAGCAGGGGCAATTTTCCCTGCCCTTAATATCATCTCCTAGGAAGATTGTATTTTTTTTTTGTCAGACAAATGATTTCATAGAACTAATAAGTACTGATATGCATTTGAATGCATTCTCTCTCTCTTTTTTTTTTTAAGAAGCAAAACCCTTGCATTTTGTATATTTAGCCAGAAGCTTGAAAGATTAAGGTTATGTGACAAAGAAGGAATATATTTCATCATACTTTTGAGAAATGCTAATCAGTTTGTTTAGCTGCTAATAAGAGAAAACATGTCTGCCACGAAATTGTGTCGGGAAATGTTAATGAGCAGCTGGTTGAGGCCTCGGTACTTTGTGGATAAAAGTTTAAACTTGTTTGGTTCTCCTTTGCTTAGGTTGGCTTTTTTCCCCTGACTTGCTCCTGTCGTTTGCAGGCCCTCCTCACAGTGGGAAGACAGCTTTAGCTGCTAGGATTGCAGAGGAATCCAACTTCCCCTTCATCAAGATCTGTTCTCCTGATAAGATGATTGGCTTTTCTGAGACAGCCAAGTGTCAGGCCATGAAGAAGGTATCGAGATTTTTACTTTCATTTTGACTCCTTACCTTTTAGATGTACGTGTATGTGTGTATACATACACATGTACATATACATTTATCTTTGCACATGTATATACATAGACACACACACATATGTATATATATAAGCCATAACAGTTATGTTCTTCTCAAGTGAAATTATCAGCAGAATTAGGGGGGAGGGAAACAGTGACTATTTTAGATATAGTATTTAACTTTGTAATGTATTTTTATTAGAGTACCTTTATCTTCCAGATTATGCTTTGCTTAGTATGTAATTAGGATTATTTTTCATTTCTTAAGTTTGTATCAACTGAAAGGTCTGACTTAAGCGTGTTTGAGTAGAGTGGAGCAAATTCATTTAGGATTTTTTAAGTTCTCTCGTCAGTCTGCAAAATCAGACTGGGGTCAGTTAAGTTGACTATATTGTCTGGGAAAGAACAAAGTTATATCATTGGAAAGATATTCTCAAAACCCCTACAGAAAGATAGTGATGTCTTAGATAATAATCAGCGTCTGCTTGGCAGACCTAGGGCGGGTGGTCCTCGTCTCTCTGTGTTTCTCCAAGTACCATTTGTCACCTTCTTAGCATGGCTGCTTTGAACCACCAGTGAAAGTTACAACAACATAGAACAGGATCCTAGCGCTGAAAGACCTCTCAGATCATCTGGTTCATTGCTGTTACATTCAAGCAAGTACCGAGTAAGGCATCTAGGATAGTAGGTGGTTGCTCATTAAAAACAAAAATCAGTGCTGAACACTCTTCATGCTGTTTCACCTCACTTGGTTTTCATTGATATTCTGATTTTGCATACTCCCAGACTGAAGAAAGGTTAGTTTTTACATATCTAGTTGAAGTATTTCTTTTACTTAAACTCTTTTTTTCTTCATGCTTGATTTCTTTATAGATAAGAACTGGCTGTAAGTTACAAGTTAAAAGAGATGTGAGAAAGTCAGGGGTCTTCCCTGGTAGCTCAGCTGGTAAAAGAATCTGCCTGCCAGAGTAAGGGAAAAGAATCTTGAGAATGGGACTGTTACCCAGTAAAGACAGCTCCGGTGTGCTGTTACTTCCTTCCTAGGGCCTCACTTTATAAAGGTGTAGGATAGAATTACCTAAGTGTTTCTTTAGGGAGGAGATTGAAGAGGAAAATACATTTTTTCAAAAGCAGACTCCCAAAAAATATAAGTTTGAGAAGTTAGTCTCATGTTTGTGCAGGCAGCAGAAAATCGTTTGTGTGGACTGCTTGAATGGATGAAGGAGGCAGAGCTTGGAGCAGGATTCCAGCCCTGCACACTGAATCGTCGAGATAAATATTCTGCACAAGGTCGTTAAAATTGAGTGTGAAAGTGAGGGAAATGTTGCCTGACACAAAAAGAACTTAAATATCGTAAGACACACTACTGGTGTCTGAGATGAAACCAGTAGTATCTGTCATTCCTGGGAAGACCTGGACAGAATCTCTAGGACCAGAAACTCCCTCATGTAGATGGGGTTGCTGTTCTTCTTGTTTTTTTTTAATTTTTACAATGTTTCCCTCTAAAGGGAACCCTTAAACCATTTCTTTTGGTGAAAATTTCAACAGCTCTTGGACTCCATAGCCACTGAACTTCCCATTTAATTGAGCAGCTGATTCTGTTTGTATTTTCCTAACTCCGTCTATCTCTTATACTTGTCTAAAAGTAGTCTTCTGTGCAGATGGTAATTTACTCCATTGCTTTTCACCAGCTGCCAGGTTCTACCTCAGATGTACTCTGACATGTGGGTGGATGGTCCTAGTCTTTTCTATAAAGTTTTTTTTAAAGTATTTTAGGCTCCTGCACATCAAAGCAGCTTTGTAAGTGTGAGATATTATCATTTTTATTATTTCAATCTCTTGCAAATTGACTTGAGGGGGGAAGGTAATATGTGCTGATTTTAGAGGCTTAAATGGTTAAATTAATGACTTAATAACTTATGATTTAATCTTTAAATTGTTGCAGCCTTTCAAGGTAAGGTTTCAGTTGAGTGGAAGGCTAAGGAGTATAAAAATGTGTCTATACCAGCTTACTTAAAATCCCTTGGATTCATGATTCACTGTCTGGATCAGCTGTATACTCTTAAAGTTGCAAAAAATATTTCTGCTTCAGCAGTATAGTAAATTCATATTGAGACTTTTTGGGTTCCCTTGTAGAAAAATATTATTCTCTGTGACTAAAGAACAGAATGGAGAAAAGAATGAAGCAGAGGTGTCTTAGAAATTTATTAGAAATACTGCAGAATCTTTCTCTGCAAATAGTTTTCACATTGTTGCCTAATGATAGCTTGACAAAAGCCTGAGGGCTCGGACCCATCTAAAGGTGCTCAGTCTTCCAGTTTGCTTTTGAAAATGAAATATAAATGCCATTCTTTAAAAGTTCTAGTCTACCTCCCACCATTGTTCTCTTGCCTTCATTTTTTGTTTTGTTTTGTTTTTAGTGTGAAAATGGAAAGACGGTGTCTTTTTTTCCCCCAAAGCACAAATAATTTATAATTTTTTGTCATTCTGGAGAAGACAGTTCTTTCCTTTTAGGTACATCCTTCCCACTCCCAAAATATAGCTTTTCCCAATTTCAAAAATAATTTAGAAAATGCAGAAAAGAACACAGAAGAAAATAAAGTCCATATTTGTTCTTCCATCTTCTTCTCAGACACACATACACACAACGTATTATGTATTGGTGATCACGTTGGACATACTTGGTTTTTTTCCCACTTACTATAAAATTTTTTCATTGTCATTAAAATTTATCCCAATATTATGTTAAATTAGTAGCTGTGTAATGTCCATTTAAACATTCCTTTTTTATTTAACATTTAGGTTGTTTCCTTTTTTTTTTTTCCCCTGAAAAGTTAGGTTGTTTCCAAGTTTTTTCACAATTATAAACAGTATTCTGTAGCACTCTCATTTGTGGCTGTTTAGTCACTAAGTCATGTCCGACTCCTTTGCAGCCCCATGTTCTGTTGCCCACCAGGCTCCTCTGTCCATGGGATTTTCCAGTCAAGAATGCTGGAGTGAGTTGCCATTTCCTTCTCTAGAACTTCCAGTGACTGCCCCCATTTTCTTATTACATTTTTCTGAGAGTAGCATCAAAATTTACTGGCTGAGAATTTGGACTTAGGTTTCTAATAGACCTGAATTGGAATCCCAGCTCCACTGCACTTACCAGCTCTTATAGTCACTTAACCTGTAAACCTCTATTTTCTCATCTACAAAATGAGGATAATATTAATAAGTGCCTCATAGGATTGTTTGGAGAAGACAATGGCACCCCACTCCAGTACTCCTGCCTGGAAAATCCCATGGATGGAAAAGCCTGGTGGGCTGCAGCCCATGGGGTCGCTAAGAGTTGGACACGACTGAGCGACTTCATTTTCACTTTTCACTTTCATGCATTGGAGAAGGAAATGGCAACCCACTCCAGTGTTCTTGCCTGGAGAATCCCAGGGATGGGGGAGCCTGGTGGGCTGCCGTCTATGGGGTCTCACATGGTCTCACACTCCGTCTATGGAGTCAGACACGACTGAAGCGACTTAGCAGCAGGGATTGTTATGAGAATTAAATGAGATAGTGATTTTTGTGCTGTATCATACAGTGCCTTGGGATGTAATATGTGCTCAATAAAGTATAGTGGTTATTCTTATTATTATTATTGCACACACATTTCTGATTATTTCCTTAGGATGAATTCTCACAGCTGAGATTGCTAAGGTAAAAATATTAATGGGTGTAAATTTATGATAAATGTTGCTATTAAAACTTTTGTAAAAATATTAATGTTTATAAAACCTACTTCTTAAGAAAGTTGTTTCAATTTACACTCGCAACCCCATCATATAAGAATATCAGTTTCCTTGGACTCTTGCCCATAATATCTTTATATATCATTTTACTGCTTGGTTTTGTTACTTAAACCAAGAGTTTTTGTTAGTGGAGAGAGCCATTAGGCTTGCTTTAATGAGTATCTAAGATTAAGATACTTAACTTTCAGACCATTAATTGCAATTAAGCTATTACTTCTTATTAACATACAGATTCTGGTGCTAAAATATATGAAAGTAGTTTATATTCGATTCAGTTCTACTTCTTAATTTGCTTAATAAATCCTTTCTCTGTGTAGATAAACTCCTCAATAGTAGCAAACTCTGTATGAGGTATTATTCTCACATTCTGTTGGGGAGGAGATACTATATGTTCCCTTAAGATAGCTGAAGTATTTACATATCTTTTTCTTCTCCCATATTTTGTTTTTGTTTCCCCAACATTATTCTGTTTAAAAATTTTAATTCCTTTATCCATTTCTGCATCTATACTTTAAGAAAAGAAAAAACCTATTTGCTAGTTCTGTTAATGGCATTAAATGAAAAAAATAACAATGCAGTAGATCTTGATTTTAACTAGTATGCTTTCTGAGTATACAGTCTGTACAGAGGTGACATAGGACAATCTGATGTGATTACATTGTTTGAACAAAATTGAGTAAAATAATTGTGATTTCTAAAACTATACCCATTAGTAAGGTCATATAGTCTTGCTTTTAAAAGGACGGAAAATTAATGGAAGACATTTTCCTTTCCACTAGCTTTGCAAGAAAGAAATAATCTTCTTTGAATATCCTCCCGTAAATCCCACTGCAAATTGTAGTCTGCACAGAACAGAATCATGGTGCCTAATCCTCCTCTTTTCATGGTTTAGTCCATACAAAGAGCAGAGCTGGAAATTGGATCTTTTGACAGCAGTTACTAAGCAACAGAATTTGGATGTTTTTGGTTAACATCCTAATATATCGTGTAGCTGATTTGTTGGAGATTGTGCTTGCGGTAACTGACAAGTGGACACCCTGTAAGTGACCACAGGTCCCTGTACTGCTGTGGGGGGCGGGGGGCAAGCACTTGTTCTTTTTGTTTAATATACTTTGTCTTCTGATGGCTGTATCTGTCTGGCACGCAAAAGAGGATTGTGCAGCTCTTCAGTA